CTTATAATAAGTTAAAACAAAATAAATGGTAAATATACTCTAAAAGATGAGAAATTTGCTTATTATCTAGAGATTTATTTTTAAAGATTCTCAAAAATATTTTAAAAATTTTTTATTCTTCTTATTTAAACTCAGTATTTATAATTTAACAAAAGCAAAATAAATTTGTTTTGTCTATAATACAAAATTCATTCTATATAAAAACTTTTACTCTATTTTTTGGCATAAAACATATTAGCTAAATTCCTTTATATTAATACTTCACCATATTCTAGAAGAATTGAAAAGCTATTTTATCTAAAAATAGTTTTATTCCAATCATTATTAATGTATTGTTATACTCATTTAACCTATTTTTATTTATAAATAGCAGTTAGTATTAGAGTTACTCTTAATTAGATTGCTTATCTAAACTCATTTTAGATTTAGTAAAATATTTAAACTATAGTTTCACTAATTTTTTATAAAGTTTTGATATAGTTTCACATTTTTATAAGCTTTGATATAGTTTTATCTTTTTCAGAATTTTACAGATTTTTTAATAAGATTTTAATATAATTTCATTAAATTTTACCTTTTACTATTTAGGTGACTTGCAAAACCTTTAAGTTTTATCTAGTAACCTTATCTTTAAAAGAGTTTTTTTGTAATCATGGGTGACTAAATATCTTGAAACTATTAAGTAAAATACTTCAAGATCCTGCTACTCTAAATTTTTTAACCAAAGTCCTTATTAGTATTGAAGTATTTCTTCAAATATTCTGTCTATGAGGCTTGAAAAATTTGTTAGTAATCTTTCTTAAATAATCATTTTCTTTTTTAACTTATTATATTAATATTATTTATTTTTTAATAATATTATATATAGTAAAAAGAGGATCTTTTTAATCCTATGTAATTCAAATCCTTATATATACATTCATTCCATAATTGTAAAATAGTCTAATACTATCTTTCTTATTTTAAAATTATATTTTGTGATATAATAGCTTAAAAAAATATATAACACATTGATTTAAGTGTTAAAAAGTTTCTTTATTGAAAAGTAATGAATTTTCAGATTCTTTTAAAATTAAAAAGTTTTTTATAAAAAAGGAATAAATATTCAGAGCTCTTTTAAAGCTGAAATTTTGTTTCCTTTTATTAAAAAAGAACTATTTTCTAAACTTTTTAAGAGTTAAAAATCTGTTTCTTTTTATTAAAAAGGATGATTTTCAGATTTTTTTATAATTAAAAAGTTTCTTTCATTAAAAGGAATGATTTTTTAGACCTTCTTTAGGTCTAAAAGGTTCTTTTCATTGAAAAAAGAATAATTTTTCAGATTTTTTTTAAATTAAAAAGGTTTATTTTTATTGAAAAGAAATATTTTCAAATCTTTTTAGAACTGAAAAATAGTTTTTTAATAAAACTTTTTAGATTTAAATCAGATCAGATTTAAATTTATACTGATCTGTTAGATCCAGATTTGAGATTCAACCTATCAGATTCAGATCAGATCTAGGTTTTAATAGATCCTAAAAAATGAAAATTAGATCAAATTAGATTTAGATAAAATATAATTTAATTTGTTGCAAAACATTACTTATAAGTAACTTAAAAACTAACTATAATAATATTTAAATACTTAAATCACATTTTTTTCCATTTAAAAATAATACTTTTAATGGTAAAATTATTAATTTTAAGATAATAATATTCTATATATACAATTAAAATGTTTAAAAAGTAAATAAAAATAAAAAAGTTAAAATTTTAAAAATTGGTCAAGTCAATTATTAGTCTTAAATCCAATTGAACATTTATTATCAAAACTGAAAGGTGTATTAAAAATGTTTTAAACTTACAAAATAATATACAGAGGAGTAAAATAAATAATTTTTATTTGATATTTATTTATATTTATTTATTATAATAGATTTGTATAATATATTTAATATTTATTATAACTTTTTTTTAGCAGAAATAACTGCATAAATTCAAAAAATATTAAATTAATTAGGTTTTAATATATTTTTTAAGAATTGCTTCCATTCTTTAATAACTATTTTTTCTAATTCTTGAATATTAAATACTTTAAGTTTATATTTTTAAAATCTAAACTCAACAATTGATCAAAGTTCCTTAATAAAATTAAATTTTGAGATATTTATAATAAATATTCTTTTTTACTTAAAAAAGAAAATCTTAAGCAATTTTTTTATATATACTAATATATTATCTTCTTGAAAAATAAGTTTTTTGTAATTATTCTTTAAGGGTTAGCATAATATAAATTTCAAGGATTTCATAATAGATTTTATTAGTAATAGAAACAATTAATAGAATAATAGATTTGAGACTAAACCATAAAAAACAGCTTCAAAACATTCATTTAGAACTGTATTTTATAGTTAAAAATGATATAATAATTTTTCAGATTTTTGTTAAATTAATCACAAATTGAAGTTTAAAACTAAGAAAAAGTAGATTCATCTGACTAAATTACTTTTCTTCAGTCAGTTATTATCTAATTTTTATATTATTTTGAAAAAGCATTTTTTGATTTTATTTGCAGAAAAAATTAATAATTTTGGACAAAATATAAATGATTAAATATTTTCTATATTTAATGCTTTTTTAAATGATTTACTTAGATATTTTCTCATTTTTATTTGTTTTAAAAAAAGCTGGCAATCTTCTTTTAAATTTTGATATTTAAAATCTTTATTATTAAGAACATAATTTTTTTTATTTTTATATAGTCATTAATTGAGAATGATCTAATCATTTATTAATAGTTTGATTATTTTTTAAACTCAAGAAACTGTTATTTAGCAATTTCTGCAGTTTTTTCTTGCATAATATAAAGTTTTAATATATAAAAATTACATCTCTTTGTTTTGAAATAACCTCTTTTACAAGACCTATTTTTTGCAAAAAATTGTGAAAAATCTGAAAATTTTTAAAAAATTTAAATCAAAATAAACAAAAAAAATAATTATAGTTTTAATAAAAACAAATATATTTTGATTAGAAAAATATTATAAATTATCATATTTAAGCTTTATTACATTAATTATATATGAAAATTTATTAATTAAAACTTCACTAAAAAATTTTTTAATATTTATTTTACTCTCCTATAATTGGAGAGTACTTTATATAAAAAATAGAATTAAATTCTTAGTTATACTTTATAATTTTAATTGAAATTATAATTTAAAGTAACTATTTATTAGATTTATATATAGTTTAATTAATAATAGTTAAAATTTTATACTAATTATTATGCATATTTTTGAATATTTAATAAAATATGAGGTTTGTTAATTTTGTTTAAGTAGTATATGTATTTTTCTATAAAATATAAAAATCTTTATATTCTAATATAATAAATATATAATAAAAGTCATAAATGGTTTTTGGATTTTAATTTTATAAAGTATTCTAAGATATGATATCTATATTATTTTTAAATAAATACAAAATTTATATTATAAAGTTATAACTAAAATTCTTAGTAAAAATACTAAAGTATCCTCAAGGATTAGAGTTTAATATACTATCTTTAAAAAAGTATTTAGCCAAGCTCATTTTAAATTTCTTAAGATTAAATATATTAACTAACCAAAATTTTTTTAATAAACCAGTTGATTTTAACATTTATATTTATATATTTATATATTTATATTTATATGATAATTTATGGATTTGTTTAATAAATAAAATATAATCTTTTCTGATTTTTAAATTTTTTTTTAAAAATTACGTTATTTAATATAATGTTTAGCAAGAGGTATCAAAAATTGGATTGCTAAAAAATAGATTATAGTACTTCTTGAATGGTCTCTCAATTTTCAGATCTTAATCAATTATTTATAGAATAAACTTAAACTAAGATGTAGTAAACATTTGATATATCTAAAAAATCTTTATAAACTTGAGAAAATATTACAAGAAGAATAGTAAAATATTTCATTTAAAATTTATACTAAATTTATAGTTAGTATATCACAAAAGAGCATACATTAATGGTTTACTAAGTACTAAATAATATATTATTTTAAAAATTCTTAAATAAATAAAATTTTATTTTAGCTGATCAGCTTTTAAGGGTAATATATTTACTATCTGCAGTATGGATTTACTATTAAAGTACAAGATAAATAACATAAGCAAATATGTAAACATTTTTACAAAATGAAAAAGATTTTAAAAAACAATTAATGTAGACTTAATTTAAGAAAGAATTATGTAAAAGGCTGGTATGTTTGGTATTATGAAGACCAGTGATGCCAAGTGACTAAAATGATTTCAAATGACTCAAATGACTGGTTATGTATCATTTGGATCATTTCAACATTAAATGACAAATGACCTGGACATTTAAGAATTATATAATGTGATCTCAATAATTCTGGCCAAAATAATTAATGCAATTAATATTTCGAACGTTTTCATAAATATTTCACGTGATATAAATCTGTAATTCTGGCAGCATATAAAATTTGGCCTGTATTATATTTAAATGACTAAATGAGAAATGACCTCAAATGACCAAGTCATTCGAAGGTCATTCAGAGGTCATTTTAAAATGGCCAAATGACCTGGTCATTTGCCATCACTGACGAAGACCCATATGTAGTTATTAGTCCGGAGCGAAGCGAAAGGACTTTCTTATACTAGCCACATGTTACACGAGGTGTCCCGTTGTCTGCCCGCTCAAAATTTGAGTCGATACGTGGTTGATCCCTTTCGCTACACATGTGCTCCGGACTTAACAATGGTTTCTGAAACCGTTCCCTAGTTTCAGAGCATCTTTGGGAATTGAGTTTTATTAAATCAACAAAATTTTAAATACTTCTATGTTTTACTAATCAGGTAATCATTTTTTCAGCGAAAACAATTCAGTTTGCAGTTATTTATTTATATTCAGAATTAAAATACTAGTAACATCAAGATTACTTTTTCTCTACTTTAAATTACAACACATCATTATAGAAAAGTAAACGATGATTATGTTAATTAAAAACGTGTCGTTGTTCACAAACTTCAAATGTATTGTCCCTGCGAAATTCTACTGTAAATACTCGTCCAACAATAGGATCTTGCCGTCCTATAACACTATTATGATAGTTATCATATAATTGTGTGATAGCATCCTCCATTGTCTGCATGTCGTTAAATGCGAATACAGAATTTGATTGTGTCAGGTTTGCCTTTGGAAGTGCGATAGGAGTATAATATGGAGTTCCTCTGATCACTAATCCAAAAAATAAAGTTAGAAAAACCTTTTGAAATAAATTATAAATATTTATGGTTATACCTGCTCCAACGCTATTTTCCGTGATATTTCGGCTTATGAGACCCGGTTGATTATATTCAATGATTAATAATGGGTCTTTACAAAAAATTTCATCGTCATCATCCTTATGTTTATTTTGAATAATATCACGCCACATAGCAACTTGTTTTTTCGTTTCTTCAGAAAACTCCGTTGGAAAATCCATTATTTCGAAGTGACTTTCCCTAAGAAATACAGGATTTCGTTGATTTGGAAAAGAATAACGAAAATACCTTGTCCACTTATATCCAAAATACGTAAGTGTTACTAAAAATACGGTTAGCCAAATTGGACTAAGTAATATTCCTACGAAGAAAAAAGCAAAAAGAAACGTCAATAATAAAATTATTAAAAGTGGCGAACAGCAACAGAGAAGAATGTAATATCCGATTCTTGTCATTACGACCAAATAGACCGAATATGAAAAATCAAAAAATTGGGAGGCCTGTTTTTATAAGGAAAATACAGTTATTATTAGAGTGTATCTAATGACGAAACGCAATAAATCAAGGTTGCAAACTTTGATTAATCATGGCTTATTACCATTGTTAACAAAATCACATGGTAACGGAACAATCATTTAGTTCTACCAAAAAAAAAAAGGCATTAGCAATAAAGCCAGCGAAGAGCCCGATATGGGCGAACTTTATTAATAATAGGCGCGATAAATTTTATTACAGAGAATGTGAACATATATTCAGAGGATTACACTACAATCACAGGCGAAATATTATTTACTACGCCACCACGAGATGTTGAAACCACGCGGCCATCGAACAGCTCATAAATCTTCAGTGCCCTTTTCTTTTCTTCCTAAGTACGTCATCGAACAGAATCAATCGAAAAAGAAATCAAAGCTGAGGTAAGTGATGCCGAATAATTCCTTGAGAACTACAGCAATCGAATCCCAAATCGAAGAGAGCAGTGATGAAATTCTGAGGATAAATTCGAAGAGAGAAATGAGATACCAGAGGATTCAGATATTGTGAGTATGGTGGTTATGGTGTATATGACGGAGGATATTGGAAAGTTGTTTTCGAACTTCTACATTAACTAATGCTTGTGCTGTACGCTTGGGATTTGTTTCTTGTAATAATCAAAACGAATATCAAGCGCTTTTCCTAGAAATCCTGGATCTTATATTCACATGACTGAACCATCCTAGGCGTATACCGGAGAGATAATCGGACTCATCATAGGTGAGCCTTCCTTCTTCATAATCATAGTTAGAACATAACCAGTATATTCATAACTTTTATTTATTTTAAGTAATAAAATTTTAAAACGAACTAAAAATTCTTCAGCTAATTAACCTATTAACTTCTCATCTAGATTAGAAATTAATCAATTTAAATTGTTTATAGAAATTCTCAATTGAATGAAAAAGTTTAATCCAATTATCCAATTAATTAATATAAATAAATAGATATTAGATTATTAATTATTACGTGCTATAATTATGACTATTAACTAGTTGAGACGATCGTTTATTGAGAATTTTCAAAAATTCTCAGAACCTGATTTTCACTGGCGATCTTTTAAAGACTTTTATTTTCCTTAAATTATTATTCATAATGTTTTGCGTTGGATTTTCACAAATAAGACCAACATTTGTTAGAACTGGAAAGGTGTATTAGAAAATGTTCCAGACTTGCAAAATTATATAATTGGAGAGTGCTTTGCATGAAGAATGAATCAAATTCTTAATAATACTTTAATAATTAATTATGAATAGAAGCAACTATTTATTAGTTTTATATATAGTTTAAATAACTTAAAATTTTACACCAATTATTATGCACATTTTTGAATAATTAATAAAACATGAGAACCGCTACTTTTGTCCAAGCAGTGGATGTGTGTTCTATGGAATATAGAAATCTCTATGTTCCAATGCAATGGATATGTGATAAGGGTCATAAATAGTTTTCGAGTTTTAATTTTATAAAGCACTCTAAGACATGGTGCCCATATTGTTTTAAATAAACACTGAAGCTTATTTCGTGAAGTCATAACTAAAATTCTTGGTAAAAACACCAGAATATCCTTGAGGATTAGAGCTTATATTTACTATCTGCAGTATGGATTTTCCATTGAAATACAAGGTAAACAACATGAGCAACACTTTCACAAATGAGAAGATTTTGAGAAGTAATCAATGCGGGATCAATTCAAGAAAGAATTATGTGAAAAAGCTGGTATGTTTGGTACAACGAAGACACGTGTAATTATTCCAGAGCATCTTTGGGAATTGAGTCTTATTAAGGTAATTATTTTTTCAGTAAACATATTTTCCGCGATAATAATTCAGTTTGCAGTTATTTTATTTATTTATATACTCAGAATTAACGAGTATTAAGTTCAACATCAAAACATACTAACTTCAAGATTACTTTCTCTCTACTTTAATATTACAACACATCATTATAGGAAAGTAAACGATAGCTATGTTAATCAAAAACATGGTTTCGTTCACAAACTTCAAATGTATTGTCCCTGCGAAATATTACTTTATATACTCGTCCAACAATAGGATCTTGTCGTCCTATAACTCTATTATGATAGTTATCATATAATTGTGTGATAGCATTCTCCATTGTCTGCATATCGTTAAATGCGAATACAGAATTTGATTGTGTCAGGTTTGCCCTTGGATATGCGATAGGAGTATAGTATGGAGTTCCTCTGATCACTAATCCAAGAAATAAAGTTAGAAAAGCCTTTTTAAATAAATTACAGTATAAATATTTATGGTTATACCTGCTCCAACGTTATTTTCCGTGATATTTCGGCTTATGAGACCCGGTTGATTATATTCAATGATTAATAATGGGTCGGTACAAAAAAATTCATCGTCATCATCCTTATGTTTATTTTGAATAATATCACGCCACATAGCGACTTGTTTTTTCGTTTCTTCAGAAAATCCCGTTGGAAAATTCATTTTTTTGAAGTGGTTTTCCCTAAGAAATACTTTTGTGAGCACGGCATTTTGTTGATTTGGAAAAGAATAACGAAAATACCTTATCCACTTATATCCAAAATACGTAAGTGTTACTAAAAATACGGTTAGCCAAATTGGACTAAGTAATATTCCCACGAGGAAAAAAGTAAAAAGAAACGTCAATAATAAAGTTATTAAAAGTGGCGAGCAGCAACAGAGAAGAATGTAATATCCGATTCTTGTCATTACGACCAAATAGACCGAATATGAAAAATCAAAAAATTGGGAGGCCTGTTTTTATAAGGAAAATACAGTTATTGTTAGAGTGTATCTAATGACGAAACGCAATAAATCAAGGTTGCAAACTTTGATTAATCGTGGCTTATTACCATTGTTCGCAAAATCACATGGTAACGGAACGATCATTTAGTTCTACCAAAAAAAAAAAGGCATTAGCAATAAAGCAAGCGAAGAGCCCGATATGGCGAACTTTATTAATAATAGACGCGATAAATTTTATTACAGAGAATGTGAACATATATATATTCAGAGGATTACACTACAATCATAATATCCCAGGATGACAGGCGAAATATTATCTACTGCGCCACCACGAGATGTTGTGACCACGCGGTCATCGAACAGCTCAGAAATCTTCAGTGACCTTCCTAAGTGCCTCATCGCTAACAGAGTCGAAAAAGGAATCAAAGCTGAGGTAAGTGATGCTGACTAATTCCTTTAGAACTCCCCTTGGCCACAGCAATCAAATCCCAAATAGAGAGCAGTGATGAAAATTTCTGAGGATGAATTCGAAGAGAGAAATGAAATACCAGATAAATAACGATGGATATGGTGATTATGGTGGTTATGGTGATTATGACGGAGGATATTGGAAAGTTGTTTTCGAACTTCATCATTAACCAATGCCTGGGCTGTACCTTTGGGATTTGTTTTCTTGTAATAATCAAAACGAATAGCGCTTTTCCTAGCAATCATGGATCTTATATTCATATGACTGAACCATCCTAGGCGTATACCGGAGAGATAATCGGACTCATTATAGGTCTTCATAATTAGAACATACCCAGTATACTCATAACTTTTATTTATTTAAGTAATAAAAAGTTTAAAACGAACTAATAAATTTCTTCAGCTAATTAACCTATTAACTCCTCATCTAGATTAGAAATTAATCAATTTAAATTGTTTATAGAAGTTCTCAAATGAATGTTAATTATTACGTGCTATTATTAACTAGTTGAGACGATCGTTTATTGAGAATTTTCAAAAATTGATTTTTCACTGGCGATCTTGTAAAGACTTTTATTTTCCTTAACTATTATTCACAATGTTTTGCGTTGGATTTTCACAAATAAGACCAACATTTGTTAGAACTGGAAAGGTGTATTAGATAATGTCCCAGACCTGCAAAATAATATAATTAGAGAGTGCTTTGCATGAAGAATGGAATCAAATTCTTAATAATACTTTTATAATTTTAATTGAAATTATGAATCGAAGCAACTATTTATTAGTATTATATATAGTTTAAATAACAGTTAAAATTTTACACCAATTATTATGCACATTTTTGAATAATTAATAAAAACATGAGAACCGCTACTTTTGTCCAAGCAGTGTTCGTGTCTTCTATGGAATATAGAAATCTCTATGTTCCAATGTAATAAGGGTTTCGAGTTTTACAGTAATTGTATAAAGCACTCTAAGACATGGTGCTCATATGCTTTTAAATAAACACGAAAGCTTATGTCGCGAAGTCATAACTAAAATTCTTGGTAAAAACACCAGAGTGTCCTCGAGGAATTAGAGCTTGATATTACTATCCGCAGTATAGATTTGCCATTAAGTACAAACAACATGAGCAACACGTAAAACACTTTCACAAAATGAGGAAGTTTTGAGAAGCGAATAATGCGGGATCAATTCAAAAGAATTGTGTATGTTTGGTACTATGAAGATCCATATGTAGTTATTCCAGAACATCTTTGGGAATTGAGTCTTATTAAATAAACAAAATTTAAATACTTCTATATTTTACTAAACAGTAATTATTTTTTTCAGTAACATATTTTCCGCGAAAATAATTCAGTTTGCAGTTATTTTATTTATTTAATACTCGGAATTAAAATACTACTAATATCAAGATTACTTTCTCTCTACTTTAATATTACAACACATCATTATAGAAAAGTAAACGATGACTATGTTAATCAAAAACATGGTTTTGTTCAAAAACTTCAAATGTATTGGTCCTGCGAAATTCTATTATATATACTCGTCCAACAATAGGATCTTGCCGTCCTATAACATCATTATGATAGGTATCATATAATCGTGTGATAGCAACCTCCATTGTCTGCATATCGTTAAATGCGAATAAAGAATTTGATTGTGTCAGATTTGCCCTTGGATATGCGATAGGAGTATAATATGGAGTTCCTCTGATCACTAATCCAAGAAATAAAGTTAGAAAAGCCTTTTGAAATAAATTATTTAATATTTATGGTTATACCTGCTCCAACGTTATTTTCCGTGATATTTCGGCTTAGGAGTCCCGGTTGATTATATTCAATGATTAATAATGGGTCGTTACAAACAATTTCATCGTCATCATCCTTATGTTTATTTTGAATAAAATCACGCCACTTTGCGACTTGTTTTTTCGTTTTTTCAGTAAATAAATTCATTTTTTCGAAGTGGCTTTCCCTAAGAAATACTTTGTGAGCACGGCATTTTGTTGATTTGGAAAAGAATGACGAAAATACCTTGTCCACTTATATCCAAAATACGTAAGTTTTACTAAAAGTACGGTTAGCCAAATTGGACTAAGTAATATTCCCGCGAAGAAACAAGAAAAAAGAAACGTCAATAATAAAATTATTAAAAATGGCGAGCAGCAACAGAGAAGAATGTAATATCCGATTCTTGTCATTTTGAATAAGTACGACCAAATAGACCGAATATGAAAAAATCAAAAAATTGGGAGGCCTGTTTTTATAAGGAAAATACAGTTATTGTTAGAGCGGATCTAATGACGACGCAATAAATCAAGGTTGCCAAACTTTGATTAATCATGGCTTATTACCATTGTTCCCAGATCACATGGCAACGGAACGATAATTTAGTTTCCCGCGTGATTCTTACCAAAAAAAAAAGGCATTAGCAATAAAGCCAGCGAAGAGCCCGATATGGGCGAACGTTATTAATAATAGGCGCGAAAAATTTTATTACAGAGAATGTGAACATTCAGAGGATTAAAACTTTCACTACAATTACAATATCCAGGATGACAGGCGAAATATTATTTACTGCGCCACTATGAGATGTTGACCACGCGGTCACCGAACAGCTCATAAATCTACAGTGCCCTTTCCTTTTCCTTCCTAAGTGCCTCATTGCTAGCAGAGTCGAAAAAGAAATCAAAGCTGAGGTAAGTGATGCTGACTAATTCCTTTAAAACTCCCCTTGGCCACAGCAATCGAAACCCAAATCGAAGAGAGCAGTGATGAAAATTTCTGAGGATGAATTCGAAGAGAGAAATAGAGATACCAGTGGATTCAGATAACGATGGATATGGTGAGTATGGTGGTTATGGTGGACATGACAGGGGATATTGGAAAGCTGTTTTCGAACTTCATTATTAACTAATGCCTGGGCTGTACCTTTGGGATTTGTTTTCTTGTAATAGTCAAAACGAATATCAAGTGCTTTTCCTAGCCTTATATTCACATGACTGAGTTGAATCAATATCTCAAAAAGTTTAATTTACTTTATTACAAATAAATAAATATTATATTTAGAATATAAACCATATAGATAATGATCAATATATTAAATTATTACGTGCTATAATTATGACCATATTAAGAAATTAACTAGTTGTTTAATAATGAAATTGAGAATTTTCAAAAAATTCTCAGAACCTGATTTTCATTGGCGATCTTGACAAATATTAAAATATGCGCGTAATGATCTTAAACAATCCTTGCTTATAAATAGTTTGTAAAGACTTTTATTTTCCTTAAACTATTATTCATAATGTTTTGCGTTGGGTTTTCACAAATAAGACCAACATTTGTTAGAAATGCTCGAAGCTTGTTTTTAAGGGATATGTCAGCAAAAGCTTCAAGTATGGGTTTTTTTTTCGCTTATTTTTCACGTGGTCATGAATTCATTTTTTTTTATTTAGGTGTGCCAAGGTACGACTGGGAAGACCCGCTTTTGTTAGAGTCTCAACTTACGGACGAAGAAAAAGCTATAAAGTAACTTATATAACATATATTATACTATATTACGTTATGTTATAATTTAAATTTTTTCTTACACTAGAAATTCTGCACGAGAGTATTGTCAGGATAAACTCTTTCCACGAGTTTTAGAAGCCTATCGGCAAGAAAGTAATTATTTATAATCATTAATTTTATAATTTGAGATACTAAAAAGTTCTTGTTTAAAAAATGACCCGATAGAATTTGATCGTGAAATTCTTAGTGAAATGGGTTCTATAGGTTTACTAGGATCTACTATTCAGGGATATGGTTGTGCCGGCGTTTCTTCAGTTGCATATGGGCTTATTGCCCGTGAAGTTGAGAGGTATTTAAATAAAAAAAAAATTTACTTAATTGTTTCTGATTTTTTGATCTATTTCTAATTTAATTAGAGTAGACAGCGGGTATCGATCTGCTATGAGTGTACAATCATCACTTGTTATGCACCCGATTGATGCTTACGGTACTGAGGAGCAAAAACAAATGTATTTACCCAAGTTAGGTAGGTTATATAATTTACAATACATTATTATAACGAAAAAAAAAAACGCGTTTAATCATTATTTTAAATTCTTATAGCATCGGGTGAGTTGGTCGGTGCTTTTGGGTTGACAGAACCTAATCATGGTTCTGATCCAGGCAGTATGCAAACATATGCACAAAAGGGAAATGGCGTATATGTTTTGAATGGATCAAAGACGTGGATTACAAATTCACCGATTGCCGATGTTTTTATTGTTTGGGCAAAGACAGAAAATCAAAAAATTCGTGGTTTTATACTAGAAAAGGTACGCCAAATATTTACTATATTAAATTAATTAAATAATTTTCTGACAGTCTGATTGACATTTTTCGGTTCTCTAATAATGATAAAGGGAATGAAAGGATTATCGGCTCCAATAATTAAAGGTAAACTGTCTCTACGAGCTTCCATAACAGGAATGATTATGATGGATAATGTAGAAGTTCCCGAAGAAAATTTACTCCCACATGTTGTAGGTTTAAAGGTAAGCATTGACACTATATTAATTCTTTTTCGAAATATGTCTCATTTCTAATTATCTTTATAGGGTCCATTTGGTTGTTTGAACAATGCACGTTATGGTATTTCTTGGGGTGTTCTTGGAGCATCAGAATTTTGTTTAGCTCAAGCTCGAGAATATTCTTTGAATCGTCATCAATTTGGGACACCATTAGCTAGATTTCAATTAATTCAGAAGAAATTTGCTGACGCTAATACTGAGGTTCAGTGATATTTCTTGTATTTTTTTGTTATATTATCTATATTTTTCAAAAATTTTTTTGATCTTTTCCAGATCGCCATCGGCCTTCAAGCTTGTCTTCAAGTAGGCCGATTAAAAGATCAAGGTAAAGCAGCACCTGAAATGATTTCTCTCATTAAACGTAATTCATGCGGTAAAGCATTAGAAATTGCACATAATATGAGAGATGTTTTAGGTGGCAATGGTATCAGTGATGAATTTCATATTATTAGACATGAACAGAATTTATGTACAACGAATACTTATGAAGGTAAACTATTTTTGAACAATTCATGTTTCATTGTTTTTTATATCATTATTTTCTTATTTTTTGTTATATTCGATTTATTATAATTAGGGACACATGATATTCATGCCCTTATATTGGGAAGAGCTATTACTGGACTTCAATCATTTACAGCTTAAATAAGTTCTAATTGGAATATTTTTAATTTTAATTTATTTATTTATTTGGCAATCAATTTGACGGACGAGTGAACAAATTTAATAGTTAAAATTGGTGATTAACGTTTAATAGGTTATAATTCTCGTTTTAATATTAGGTTATTGGGATGGTAATATCAGGAAATTTTTTTTTTTTTACGCGACTAATTAGGATAATCTTTAGGGACTAAAAAAAGGAAATTTTTCATTCATTCATTTTTTTTTTTTTTTTTTAAAAAAAATTATATATATATATTTATTTATTATGTAATATTAGGTTAGTAGTAGCACAAGTAGACAAATTAATTTTATCGATGTCCATTTTAACCTTTTTTGAGTCATCACACAAAACAGAGAACATCCGATTGCTCAAGTCATCAACATTTAGTTTATTTTTACATAAATCAATCCTGCTAAAAGTTTTTTTTTTTTTTTTTAATAATTTAAATAATTTCAGATTTCTAACAGTATATACAAAAAAACTAAATAAATAGCATTTTTTTTTTTTTTTAAAAAAAAAAGTAAAAAAAAAAAGAATGTTAAAAAAAATGTAATAGATGTTTCTAACATATCTAGAACCTTTAGCAATCAATGCGTAAAAGTTTAACTATTATCACCAAAAAAGAAAAAAAAAAAAAAAAAAAGGATATATCGAAAAAGAAATATCTAATATTATCCTTAAACTTATTTTGCGCCTGCAATTCAACCTGATCCCTTTTTATAAAATAGATAAATAAATAAATAAGTAAATAATTTTTTTTTGTTCCGAAAAGAAATAATGTTCTCTATATATGATTCATATAATTCAAAGTAATTTAACCAAGTAATCATGAAAATTCTTCTCTTAACATTCATTAAATATCTTAGATTTTTTTTAAAAAGTAACGAGAAAAAAAAAAAAAAAAAAAAAAAAAACCTAATATGTAGGTTTTACGTGTATAAACATTCCTTTTCGGTTTTTGTTACGTTCTTTTATATATAACATAGCATCTTCACTACATCCTCCTTCAAATCTAACTTCCTTTAACCGTGGATGATTTTCTAATTTCATTATATGTTCACGGGTTAAATTTTGTTTGGGTTCCATGAATAATTTCTCCAAATTACGTAATTTATATAATACATTTATTAACGACTATGAATATGATAAAGGTAACGTTAATAAAGTTAAAAGAAAAAAGAATGAACATAAATTGATATGATGATAAGAAACGTTACTTACATTCGGATATAAACCTGTGATATAACATTTAAGTTCTAATTCTCTCAATTTTGGACATTTCTCTGCAAGTCTTTCCAACAATCCCAAATCAAATCTTCGATATTTCTTTCCCTCAACCGTATTTGTCTCAGGATCATGTCTACTATGAATCTGCAAAACTTGTAATTTTGTATTACCCTGCGTTGCTAATGTTGAAACAATCTTTGCTGCAATGATACGAGGATAATCACCGCTCAACTCTGTAAGGAATTTACACTTACGTACAAGTAATGTTAGGGAACGTGAAGTGACCTTTCTACAATTATCTAATCCAAATTTCACTAAATTATGACAATTATTAGCAATCTCTATTATACTTGCATCTGTTAATTTTGGAATCCTGCACATGTTGATATTCTTAAGGTTATTATTAACATTACGAGCCAAAGCGGAGACAGACACATCAGTTAATTGTTGACAACAAATTAGGCCAACAAATTCCAACCTTAGAC